CTCGCGTTTCATCTAGTACCAAATGACTTCAAGCAAATGGCCGGTTTCTGTTTCGCTTGTGCAAAAGTGTACTATTTTAATTTAAAAAGCAAAAGATAATCCATACTTGGAGTCGGCATGAGCATTGCCTGAAGTAGAGCTTGTTTATAAACATAAATATCCACCATCATTGAAGCCATACTGATTTTAATTTTCTTCATATTATAGTCACCAAACTCAAAACATGTATTATAATTAATGTCAACACCAAAACAAAAATATGTGTAAACCTCTGACTTAGTCTTTGATATTTTACTCTAAAGTTTGTGAAATATTTTTKAGATGGATCAGTAGCACACATTATAACACCACTGAATTATTTTGTGAGCAATGAATATGTTTGGTTTTGGAAGGGCAATGATAATAAAGAGTCCAATTTTGTTTTCATTTTTCATATAAATTTGAAATAATATAATAAATAATAATAATAACAATAAATAGTATTTATATAGCGCAAAATATCCATCAAGTTCTGATGCGCTTTAAATACAAAAATTGAATATTTGAAGAAAAACTGTTAGTCTATTATAAAAAAAACTATGAAAAGAGATAAAAATGTTTATTTGTAAAAAAGAATTTAAATATTACATTTTAATTATATGGATATATACTTTTTTGCGTAAGACACTAATACAATAATAATAAGACACTAATACAATAATAAATAATTTCTCATAAAAAATATAAAATTATTTAAGTGAAAAGGCTTTCTTAAAAAAACAAGTTTTAATTTCTTTTTTAAAAATACAAATTGATCTTTCTTTACGGACGTTCTCAGGAATAGAGTTCCATAATTCAGGAGCAGCAAAAGAAAAAGATCTTCTGCCATAAAATTTAAGATTAAAAGATGGTTTAAACAACAAGTTAGCTGGTGAAGATCTTAAAGACCGTGAAGGTTTATAAGGCTGAATAAGATTAGAAAGATAAGAAGGAGAAGTTCCATTTAGAATCTTAAAGGTGATTAAAAGAATTTTATATTCAATGTGTTGCTCTACAGGCAACCAATGCAAGTTGTACAGAATAGGCGCGATGTGATCGCGTTTGCGAGAAAAAGAAATTAATCTTGCTGCCGCATTTTGCACGCGTTGTAACTTGTTTATAGAAGACTTAGGAAGACCATAGAGCAAAGAATTACAGAAATCTAGTTTTGAAGAGATAAAAGCATGTACAAGTACTTCACATGCACCGACACAGCTACTTGCGTATTTTCCAAATATTGTGAATGTGGAAAAAGCATGATTTACATACTGCTGTTATATGGGATTCTCAACGAAAGTTTTTTGTCAAAAATGACCCCAATATTGCTGGCAGAGGAAGATGATAAAATGTCAAAGCCAAGGATATTAAGGGACACTTCTGATGAGAAAGGGCGATGTGCAGCTGAAAGTACCACTAGTTCAGTTTTATCACCGTTGAGTTTTAGCTTGTTTTCAATCATCCATAAATCAATATCTTTGACGCTGGCTTCAACCTTGGATTTTGCTGCCATCATCTCACATGAAGGACATGAAGACATTGTAGAGAAAGAAATATATAATTGTGTATCACCTGCATATAGATGATAGCCAACTTCATGACGATGAATGATATCTCCTATGGGTGAAATATAATGAAAATAATTTTTATCATGAATCAACAAGTCATAAAAGTATTGCCAGCTATCACCTCATCATGAGTGGGACTGTTGGTGGAGTGGGTGGATAGTGTCGATAGTGAATCCTATATATTCCTTTGATCATTAACATAAATGGTAAACTGTAAATTGTAAGCTGCACTTATGTTCACTGAACAAAAGAAATGAGCTAGTTTCCGCGTGCAGGCATAAACATAAGTAACCCATTACAATGTGGTGCGCGTAGTATAAACATGTTGAGTTGTTTGATCTCTAAATCGTCGGCCATCCTGATACGCCCCCCAAATTATTTATTCACTGGACAGTATACCAAAACAGCGTTCGTAATGTCTTTTAAGCAATGTCATTAATGTCAAGACTGCTACCTTTCAGTTGATACCTCCTTCAGTAAGCATTTCACAGCCAAAATCCAGTGATTTTCCTGTTTTCTTGATTCCGTATGATCATCATGAGGTCAAAACAAACGTGGTTCGAGAACTGCGATCAGAGAAGGTATTGTCTTATTGTCTGGGTGACGTCACACTCGTTTCCATACTTCTTTCGAGGCTRTCCTTCCGAAATCCAACTTAAACATTTGCCAAAAATCWGGCAGTGAATGAAATCGAGTCATTTTTTTCGCCAAAGATCCTAGAAACGTCCTTAATTTTAGAAAAAAATGTCATTTTCAGGGGTAAGGTGCACTTTCAGTCCTTTCAACATTAATTAATTTGAGGGGGAAGGGGGGCAGACATACGCAGATAGATAATCGAGATTCAACATATTTCAAGAAGTTTCTTAACTGTTTTGTCCGGGATTGTCGATGTAAAATGAACTCACCAAACCAATGTGGCCATTTGGTTATAATGACCAGCTCCTCTTTGCGAGTATTTGGTAGAAGAACTTAAATTTTCTCCATCTCACTCTCATCATGTCTGTTTCTACACGATCAAGTACTCCCTTTCGGACATAGGACAACACCTCATTGGCTTTAGACAATGTGTTTTGCATAGTGCGTTTTGGGTGCAGAAAAACGGACTGGCTGTCCTTTTAAGATTAAGAGGTCGAGTGCGAGTCGAGAAGCGCGAGAGGTCTACCTAAGAGAGTCTAGACCAAAGAAAAATCGAGATCAGCCAATGAAATCACACCATTTACTCTTTTTGACTGCGATGTGTTTTTATTAAGTAAACGATATTATCTGCTTCTCGAAAATCTGAGTCAGACGACTTAATATCAATGTCTTTTTATGATAACATTTCTGTATTTTCCACGTCCTTGGTCGACTAGCAACCGAACAGCCGCTACAAACTCTTACCTGTTGATATACATTTCTTATGAGTGTATTTGGCGCTTCTTTCAACTTCCATCTCATGCATTGAGCAAGTCAATTTTACCGAGACTTTTCCCCGCTATTTGTTCCGCTTCGAAAACAATTCATCAATATCCCACCCCCAGTAGCAGTTTTGCTGTTAAAAGCAAGTTAAAACAGCGTCACGTCTCCGTTCACTTCCCCGCTAGTACCGGGGGAAGGGAGTCTCAATTGACTAGTGCATAAGAAGAAGCTGCTCCTTCTAATTCAATTCCGTCATGTCTAAACACGCAACTGCTGAAATTTCCCAGAAATATTCAAGAAAATTACATCTTTATTGGGCATTGGATTGGTTTCTTGACAGCTTTTATGAATATATATTTCAGCAATAAACAGCACATTTTCGTGCGTTGCTGGTGGAATAAACTACGCGGGATTTTGGGAGAACACGAAAAAGGCGTAAAATATATCAAGCCGGAGGTTAAGTTTTATTAGGCAAGTAATATATCTTCGTGGTCGCATATCAACACAAACCTTGGGCAGATAAATCTTTGGTGCGTTTTTCGAAAAATTGCTGGATAAAAGCTGACTCCCAACATGCATGACTGACAAAGCTGCTGATGCTTGTAAAATTGTGCCGTGTTGACAACAAGGGGTTCAAGAATGAAATTATTAACAGCTATCTGTCTCCATGTTTTTTACCTATTCTGGGATTGCCATTGTTTTCTTTGTGTGTGTCCATTGTTTTTTTTATAATCTGTGTGTTTAAAAATCGTCATTGACTTCGAAATCCAAAGTGGCGAATTGCATGCTTCCAAGAGAGCTAGTGTCATCTACGTTAACTTTTAAGTCCGATTCTTCTTTTAGGTCTGGTAGGTATGGAGCTATAGTTGGAATAGTAGCACGAGAACTCGCTATGGACGACKCGTAAGTCGACGAGAAATCTCCATGAAAACTCCGTGAGGTGCTAGGGTAATCTCCAAAATAACTTCGTGAAGTACTTCCTCTCAGAGATCGATCATAGTATTCTTCTGCTGCATTGATGTCGAATTGGCTAAAAACAAACACGGACATTGATCACCGTAAGAATAGGAAACGATAATCCTTGCATAACTTGGGTTTGTCAAAAGAGTGAAAATAGATATGCAACTGAATTCAACTAAAACCTCCCAACCATCTGTTGATGACGTCATCATTAAATGGATCTTGGCAAGAGAAAATGAGGTAAGAGAGGGMATCCCTGGTACTGCGTTCTTAACCCATCATATCAGCCCTTCGTTCTATTTTTAGAAAAAGAGCTATTTTTAGAAATGGAACATGATTGGTCAGATCGTCAGATCCTTTCGTGTTGAATCTGCAAATGTAAATTATGCGTTTTATAAATTATCTATTCCAGGTTAAATATTACTGCTCGAGAGGTCAGAGAATTSAAAGGTCAGATTGTCGATCTAATTTCATGTCACATTACCTTCAGAAGCTGATTCTTCTTCGACACTTTCAAGTTTTCTTTGTTTTGAAGAAGATTCCTTTTCTTCTTAAAGAAGTTTCCTTTTTAAAATTTCGTAGCCTTAATTTTCTCGAACAGTATTTGACATTCAGTTTTTGGCGATGAAAAATAGCCGATATCAAATTCCGATAAACGAGTAGTGGTCGCGCGGGCTTGGTAACAAACTAAAAATAGYTCTTTTTCTAAAAATAGAACGAAGGGCTGATATGATGGGTACCAGGGATTCCTTCTCTTACCTCATTTTCTCTTGATCTTTGCGAGTAAATACACAGGCAGCCCAAGCTAAGCATTTAACTAGCAGATTATAGCAATATCTATAATGCATGTAAATACAAATAAAGGAGGGGAGATATCAAAGAAAAACGGCAAATTACGCCTTAATTCATAACTAAGACCACATCATAAGGTAAGACAAATGTTTTTTACTTATTTTTTCTTTCAAAAATTTCGTATTTATATGCATTATAGATATTGCTCAGTATAATCTGCTAGTTAAATGCTTAGCTTGGGCTGCCTGTGGTAAATACTGGAATATTTAAAACTCGTGTTTTATTCTAGCTATGGATTGTCCAGGGTAATTTTATGTTGCTGTTATAAAAATACTACTAAGATTTAATCATTCTGCTTCATTACGCATTCTACATTTTATCATCTTATTTACTTTCAGATTGTGCATTTTTCATAGAAGAAATTTATGTTTGTTTTTAAAGCTGACAAAGAATATAATTGTAAAATAGACTTAAGAACAAAAACACCAATGAGTCCTTACAACAAACGAATGGATTTATAATGCCATTGTCCATGTGTCAAATATTTCGTGTCTCTAGTAATTGTCTTTGGCTTGAGTAATAGTTAATAGCTAAAATTTGTATAGACGCTAATAACTTTGCAGATATTTCACAAAATTCCTTACTGCACTCTATCGAAGCTTTTAAGCTTAAAAGCTGAGTAAAATAAATTTCGTAACCAGAATATAGAAAAATTGTTAAGTATTCGARTATTTTATGGTTGCCTGGCTTTTTTATTGTTTCATTATAAGACGTTATTACGACCTATTAAAGAAATGTACTTCAAATGTTTACTGGTCACATGACTGTTTCATTCATAGAATTTTCGGGCATTGCCCCTCAAGAGAGTTTATAGTAATGTTCAATTATAGACGTCCTTATAACCCCGAGAAGTACGTCGTAACGATTGGTCGTAGTATTCCTCTGGTGCATTCACGTTGAATTTGCTAAAAACGAAAATACCGAAAATAGATCACTTGGTCGAACTTTCATTATTGAAGGTAAAGAATAAATTACTTACTTTTTTTCGTTGTTTCTCGTTTTAAGTTTTCGTCTTATGACAAGGACAAGTAGTACTAAAGCCAGTAGAATCAATGCCCCAAGGACGATGCAGATTATTATTGGTGTTGTTACTATAGAAGAAACAACATCATAATATTTTTCCTGTACATAATCCTCGTTTGCTTATGGACTTGGTATGGGTAGTTGCACGACTGCATGTTCAATGTTAAATAAATACTTATGAGTGAGGTTTGTTATAAAGTTTGAGTTTCTCTTCTTGCGACTAATGTTAACCCTCTTGTATTAATTCTATAAGAAATATATTTTTACTGTTTTGAGTTGAAGCACACCGAACCACGTTTTTAAGGCAAAGCAACCATAGTTGATAGCAACTTTTTAAGAACACAGCACATTTAACTTTTGACCTGAGGATTGCGCAATTGGGTATATTTAATATGCCACTAAAGGCTATTGCATGATCCACAAAGGGCTAACAGCCACAACACACAAATAATAACACGAGCTTTACTCAACCTCGTGTCCTCATTTTACACAGGTAACCCGAAACACCACAGTGTGTCATATTAATCAAACAAAATTTTACTTCGAGTGTACAAGTAGATTGAAGAGCGCAATACTCACGACAATTCTCTTTGCTACATGATCTCGTTTGCCTTGTCTGTCCTTCACAGGTTTCTTGTTCGTCTGCATCACAGGGCCTTATTCGTGTTTGTTTGCCATTACAATCTGATGAACAAGACCCCCATGCTCCCCACGGTCCCCTCACAAGCCCTCCTATAAAGTAATAATGCTTGGTATAATGGCAGTGGTAAGAGGATAAGAGAATTACAGACAAAAATACCGATAAAAAATTCGCAATAAAATCCTAAACCTTTATCGAAAAAAGACTTTCGCAGTAGAGTAACAGGTCAAAGAGATATTTTACGGTCTTTGAGGAGTTTCAGGKATGTAATTGTCAACGGTATTTAAGCAATTGTTTAAATTAGTCCATCCCCAGAGGCAAAACAAACAAGATTTTATATAATTGCGCGATGTTTCAGCGTTAAAATCTCTTACTTTTACTGTTCTCTTCAGTCCTATAATAATGCATCAACAACAGCGAGTGATATTTTTAATGAAAGAGCACAGGTAAAGAAAAATTTGAAAAGTTTTGAACTTGCTTGCATGGTAAAGAAAAAAATGAAAAGTTTTGAACTTGCTTGAATTTACAAAAAAGTGTATGGCAAGGGATGATTTCTCCCTACAGAAGCCCATCACAGTATATATTTGTATAGAGTAAAGTCATCAAACCCTTGAAAAAGAATTTACTATTACATGTAAAGTGTGATCGACATGGGATTTCATGCCCAGCATGAAAATGTTTGCAAAGCTTCATGGATTTAAAAATGTTCGCAGTTCCTCCTGGCATAGTTAATATTAATATTACGACTAATTCGTAATGCAAATTGCGCTATTAACTATGCTCCTGGGTATTTATGACGCGGTATGAAAATGATCCTAGTGATGATAAAATTCTGCATTTGCTGCATGAAATATATTAGCTCATGCCCTATAAACGTTTTGAAACACTTCTGCCATGTCGTATAAGCTTCAACGTGATTTTTGCCGTAATACGCATGAAATATTTCGCTTCATGCTAAAAATGATGTTAGCGAACGCTCGGCTTTAACCCATGCCGGAAACGCGCATTSTTATAATTTAAGATAATATGCTTCAGCGTCATTTACACCTGTTAGGCATGAACCATGCATTTTCTATGCCAAAAACGCTTAAAATCGCTTTTTTTCTACGGTGTCTGTGTGTAAATGGCATGTGCAAAATTCATGCCAACAGCTAAAAATTTGCTTAAAACCTGTCTTAAATTTTACTTTCCAACMTGTTTCAAAATAAAACAATGCAATTAGAGCATACTATAGAGGGTCTCAATGGGGTTAACCATGAGCCGTGAAACGGCTGAAAAATTAGCCGTGAGTCGTGAAAATGAGAAAAAATTAGCCGTGAGGTGTGAATATTTTTTATAGCGTGAGCCGTGATTCAGTATTGTTCCTCAGAAGGACAGTCAACTCCAGGCGCGCGCTTGTAATTTTTTTTAGTAAATTTAAAAAATAAAAGCTTTAGTGGATATTTTTTCAAAATTTTGACTTGAAAAAAAAATTTTTTCGGCACTTCGGGCCGTGCAGGAATTTTTCCCAAAACTCTTCCACTCTCCCCCCTCCCCCAGAAATTCTAATGGATCGCACCTACCAACAAGGTCTCCCAGACAARTCAGGGCATGGACAAAATTTAACATTTGAAATAAACCCACACTCACTGTATCTCTAGCACAAAACAAATTACATAAAAAAGTGATGAAAAACCTTGTTTTCATTTCAAAAATTTCTGAAAGTAATCTAGYTAACCGTGATTCGAAAAAATTAGTCGTGAGTCGTGAAATAGCCAAATTTTTAGCCGTGAGTCGTGATTCGTACCACCCCATTGAGACCCTCACTATAAGGTGTATTAKCGTAATATCTATTTCACGGATTTTTGGACTGCACTCGCATAATCATTTCGTTCAGTTTCATTCGATTCCAACCGAACTCTCAAAGGCTCAATCTGAATGCGATTTTATGGGATTTTCACTGTTGACAAAACTATAATTTTTGGATAATATTTTCCAAGCTTTCCGTGATTGAAAAAGATATTAATGTAAGATTTCAATCCTTTTCTGCTAACATAGACAATAAATTATTAATACCTTGAAGTACTATCTATTCTCTCTTTAATAACAAAACCAAGTTAACTTAATGACCTTAAATTAAATTTTGAAGTTCGTTTCGAAGTATCTATTTTGAACTTAATGTTTGCTATGTGAGTAATCGTACGTGGACTTGCCAGAGTGTTGTGAAATGAGCTACAAATCCCAAAAGCCGTGAAAATGGAGGTATTCAGTGTCCCACCTATAATTCTATATTTTTTTTGCGAACAATAGTTCAAAATTCTTTTTGACAATGTTTTGTTTTGGTATGTGGGACGCCTTTTGATATCAAATCAAGCACTTCGTTTTATGRCACAAAGAGTTTATATTCAAATTATAATATAGTAAAAGTTGACATTTGTCATGGAATCTAGAGATTTCCAACTTTTCCTAAATGTTACATTTGTTGTATTTGAAGTTTGAGTTTTATCTAATAAGATCTAATAACAGCATGGAGCTAGAAGTACTGACAACAAAGCAGAAGTAATTTGGTGACAGAGTATTTCCTATTACTGTAAACAATCGGGTACCAACAATCGTGATCACAATACAGTTTTTACTTTTTTGTTGCTTTGCCGGAGCGACAAGAGCGAAAAAGATAGCATGAGTCATGATGCATAAAAGGTCATAAAACTTATCAAGATGATTGAAAATTGTTTCTACCACAATCTAATGAACTATTGGGTTGCTAGAGAAGTCTGCAACGTTACATTGAAAAGTCCGAGATCTGATATTCTTGAACGTTCAATATTTAAGCAATCGTAAAGAACTGATTTTTGTGGTTTTATGGAGTAAACGAGTTAATTGTTTACAAAGAAAGGTATAAGTGTTGTTCAATATTTCCAAGGTAATTCATTATTAATTTTGAAATATAGAAAAAAGTCTTCTCTTCATAGCGTTTGTTTTCTAGTGAAAAAAAAAAAACAACGCTGAGTCCCACTTAGAGCTTGCGTTTGACCAACATTGTCAAAATATTGTTTAATATGTTTTTTGGTCTGAATTGACTAAAAAATTGAGTTAACTTTGCACGGTATCATACATTGATCCACGCATTRTATAATAACTTTATTATCAAAGAAATATCAGATTAACATTGCTCGCTTTAGACCAATAAATACTGCAGTATGTACGTTGAAAAACATAAAACGGATGGGTTCGGTTCGACATGACAAAGTATTTCAATAAAAAGTCAAGTGCATACAATCAATATTAATTCATAATATCAATAGACGGCGGATAACTCAGTTATTACCTGTAGCCGATTTGATGCTGCATACTATGAGAAAGCTGATGAAGTGAGAACTCAAGGACTGGATGTCAACCATAATTCATAAGACTTTGCTCTTAAACTTTTTCAAGCTTGACTGATCTGTTGTTCTGATCCCACGACTAATTCGTAATGCAAATTGCGCTCGAAAATTCCACCAACAAACTTGCACTACAGGTGGCCATGGTTTGAGAATGTTTGCAAGTATGAGTCGCTGCGTGAAGGGCTGAGATGAGAAAAAAATAAAATATTTTTTTAAAAGAAGTGTATAAAATTGCATTTTTAGCAAGATAAACCTGGATTATTGTTTATATTTAGATCTTTTCAATTTAGTGATTTCTATAGCGAAACAGATAACGTTTCTTTGCAACTATGTCTCGTATATTTTGTAATACAGTGTTAGATTAATTTACAATAGCCCATGTAAAAGAACTATGCGCTTAATTGATACAGCTATTTCAAAAAACGTTGTCGGRACTAAACGGCGATTGTTGAAGGGAGATTCCACCACCGAAAGGGACTTTGGTTACACTGTTTTGATAAACAAAATTTCACTTATTGGATTTACAAAGAAATGGAGACTAAATGGAGCCAATGTTTACCACAGACCATCTTACAGTAAAAGCAAAACCCATGGCTACTTTCGGTCGTGCAATCGCCGCTTGACCGTTGACATTCGCCATTTTATCCGACAACCTTTCTTGAAATAGCTATATACATGTTTCTCGTCGGGTTGAAAAAGGCTACACGATGGATGCTAAGAATGGAGCATGGGAATGAGGTCAATAGAGGGCTCGGAGAAGAATGTAGTAAAATAGGTAGGTCAAATATAGGCTATACCGTAAATCATCAGGAGCTGAGACGGTAGACAGAAATATCTTCGTGTTTCATTTTAAAATTGCTCAGCCCTACACGTAGATGACAGGAGATGAGGTGAGTGTTCTTGTTTCTAATTCAAATTCATAACTTTTTGTTTGTTTGCTTCTTTCATCGTTTGGTTGTTCATTTTTATCTTTTTTATAATTTGTTTTGTTTTTGTTGTTTTTCAATTGGTTTTTCCTTTTTTGTAATTTCTACTGTTTTTTTCTGCATCCGAAATGTAGTTCTTAGAGAAGGTGTGACTGCGCCAAAACACAGCAATTTGTGTCGTGACCGTACCGSCTGTGGCGCCGATGTGTTCTTGAATTGGACAAGGGGGCTCTTGTACCCCGATCAAAAGCTAAAGGTTCGGTGAAGGAAACTGAACCAGAATTGAAACAAAGTTTATTTAAGACCTCAGCCAATTTGGACTGTTATTTATGGGCGTAGCTGCATATCCTTATTTTGGTTTATACGGAAACGATGATTGTTTTCAAAACGCGTTGTCAAAACTAAGTTAACAACTCATTTTTGGTGGTTTCGTGCGAACTGATAAGACTGAAGTATCAATAATTTGGCAGAGGCAATTTTGTCATTGCTTCTACGACGCGTTTGCACATCCGGGAAATCGTTTGATGTGGTTAGATGCAATTTAAGATRAGTTAGACTCGAGCTATTGTATTGCGTGTATTAAGGAAAGATCAAGATGAACCCATTGCAGTTTTGCCAGCTCTCTTCTTACTCGGGAAAGGTCAATGTCATRACGTACATCAGGGTACATATCATGTCTGTCATGTATTGCCTTGTTGGATTTGCAGGACAGTTGCCCGTTGTATGTTTGCTTTTCTAAAGGCACTTTGATTYACCTTTACGTGACTGATCTTACAAATCTTATACAAGTTGTTATCCGGTAGCAGATTTTGCGTGAGTAGTAAACATGAACGGCATAACTTTATGCGGAWTTCCTTTATAATACTTTGACTCGACTGCGCAAGGCCTGGTGTCTATCATAAGGTCGAGGCTGTACCATGCCTGCTCGTCTTCATCCAGCTATCCTCCATAAGCCATAATAACACTGTAGTTTGTGTAAACGTCCTACGATTACCTTTGAATTGACAATTGCTGTCTTGTGAAGCCTTTTTAAGGCAAAATAGGAATGAATGCTGCCATTACGACAAAATGTTGACTTGTGTGAACCAGGTGAACACTGCTWCAGTTCAGTGGATGCCCCAATCATTCCACAAAACGGAAAGAAAAGAAAAGTGAGTAGCGACGTCAAAAACGGCTCCAGAACTGTGGCTTCACTTGAAAGTGAAAACATTTATCCTCATTCTAAGAGGCAAAAGTCTGAGAACTATACAGATAAAGATCAAGGGGGGTTGACCCTTCTGATGGCTGATCAGGAGAAGAAGGCTTTCTCTAAGTATGGCAATCATTTTCATGAATTGTCTCCAATGGCGTTGAACAATACATCTACTAATAAGCCGGGACAAGCCAAGAAACTTGTTATCAAGAACTTTAAAGGTATCAGTCCTTGTATGTATGTATATTTTCGAGTTTTTTTAGACACAAATCAAATTAAATTAGATGCATAAACAAATGTTTTGCTTCGTATAGTTACAAAATAAGTTACTAGAGTGAATCGTACAATTAGTACCATTCCCTTTCTCCGATTTGTACTTATGTACATGTGCTATCATTATACAAAAGAGAGGTATTTTATGAAAATCTTATTCTGTAAACAACCCAGTTTGTATAAGTAACAATATTATGTCATGTTCTAGCTAAGCCCCACTTACCTGATAATTTCCAAGAAGCAACATGGATGAAGCTGAAAGAATCTGTCCAAGCTATTCACAAGAAAACATCTATAGGCTACAGCCTGGAAGAGCTTTATAAGGCAGTTGAAAACATGTGCTCACATAAGATGGCTTCAGTATTGTATGACCAGCTAAAAGTGGAATGTGAAAGACATGTACATTCCAACTTACATCAGTTCACTGGATATCCTTTTTGCACCTAATTTATAGCATTTGGTTTTAAAATGAGCACTGATTAACAACAGGTTTTAGTCTGAGTCTGATTTGTAGTCTAATGCAATGAGAATGTATAAAAAATACAGCATTAAGAAGAAAGGATCTATCTTTTACCTATATATGTTTCTTTGTTAAGTTTCTCCAGATAACCAGTGAGGTGCATATTATTGGCAAAAGCACATAAATATAATTTAATTGATATTTTTGTTATTATTGTTTCCCTTGACTATATTCAATGATGGAATGGATAGCATTTTGTATTTAACAAAACTAAACTACTGTTGGGAAGATCACTGCAGACAAATGGTAAGGATTCATAAAACACATAGTGCCATGGCAAAACTTGGATGAAATGAATTCTATAGTCATAGAGTTATTTCTAGCTGTTATGTGGAATTACCAGTTATTGAATGCTTTGTGACATCAAATTGTTCCTTATCTGTGTGGCCTAGTCTTGGGTCTTGGTCACAAAAATATGAAATCTCTAATCTGCAACAAATAATGATGAAAGCTATGCTTAAATAGTACAAAATAGTACTAAATTATACTAGAGTACCAACACTAAAACTGTGCAACATAAATACCACTAAATACTGCACTGTTAAATTATGCTAATTCTATTGTTTTCTATTGTTTAATTAACACTATTATACTAGAGTACCAACACTAAAACTGTGCAACATAAATACAACTAAATACTGCACTGTTAAATTATGCTAATTCTATTGTTTTCTATTGTTTAATTAACACTATTTTGTAGTAAATAGTGGAAAGTGTTGCACACATTTAATGTTTGTACTCTATTCTTATATTTTCTGTTAAGTCTAATCAACACTATTCAATAGTAATTATTACTATTAGTTTCACGGATTAATTGTGTTAACTAGCTCTAGAGTGTTCGCATAAACCGTGCAACTGTAAAAAATCTAAGTAGTACTAATATGTACCAAAAGTGGACCTGAAGCAAGACTCTCACCACTCTCTTTTGTGTTTTGAATGAAGCGTTCACATGCAGGTAGAGTTTCTCTAACCCTTCAATGAAACCATTAGCTCTCAAATAAACCAATGAGAGGACAAGTATGTGTACTTAAAAATAACTTTTGCTTTGATATGTCTTGTGTCTTTTTTGAGTTCACTAGAAATGCATCTTGTGTCTTTATTTTAAAACCATTATTGTTGAAATGCAACCCACAAAGTTAAGTCTCTTTATCTTAATTAGAATTTTTTGACATTCATCACCTAACCTGGTGTTTATGTTTGGGATGATTAAGTTACTGCATGAAYGATTTCACTAAATAGCACTATTTACAGTTGCACGGTTTAAGTGTGATCACTCTAATGATAATTCAATGTAGACTGCAACTGTACAAACTAAATAGTTCTATTTAGTTGTATTCAGTAAATCGTGCATGTGGTATGCAAATTAAATTGAATTGATACAAATGAAGCATTCAATACCGTCACATAAATATGTTTTTTATAAATAGCTAAATTCATAAATACCTATTTTACTAATTGTATGAAAAAATTGTTTCTATCTTTCAGATTATGATAAGAAGTATATTTCTTTATTTAGACAGAACATATGTTTTACAAAACTCATCTATTTTATCATTATGGTATGTTACTATCTATGTCGATATACAAATATGTCAGAAACCTGTTGTGTCATGGACTGTAAAGTGCAGTTATATTTGATGTAGCTTTTTACTTAGTTCCAAGAATTTTCTAACAATCCAAATTATATTTCTTGCCAGGGATATGGGTTTGGATTTATACAGAAATCACATTATGAGTAATGATGCTGTCAAAACAAGAACAGTAGAAGGATTATTATTGCTAATTGAGAAAGAAAGGTATTTAGAGAATGAATATACAAAATTAATCATAAATTATCAGCTTGATGTTAAGGTATAGACGAGCTTCCAATGGCTTGTAGAAGGCGGAGCAAAAAGGATCTTTTAAAAAAACAAGGGTGGATTTTAATGCATGTTTCCAAGTCGCAATCTTTGAATAAGAATTCGGTAACTTYGTAGACTATTCAGCATCATATTCTCAGAACATAATGTTGATCTTGTTCTAAATTTACTAGTAAATATTGTCAAGTTGCCATATTCCCTATCTGCTTGTTTTCTTCCCTTATATCAGAATCAAAGTGGCATGTTGATTTACAAACACAAATCAATATTCTATACAGTTTAAGCTGATGTTATAATTAATGCTCTTATTGTCTTTGTTTAACTGGATATTGGTGATTTTATGCTTGGATGACCATATACAAATCCTTGTAAAATTGACTTGGTTCCTTTCTAAAGGTACCGTTTCAAATTTAAAAAGTTTTTATTTGCTCATCCTAATCATAATTAACAATTAGACCTCGAGGTCAAGTGGACTACGAGCTAATAGCCCATGAGGCCGAGTCCKCGAGGCCKMATGGGCTATTAGTTCGTAGTCCAYGAGGCCGAGAGGTCTAATTGTTTTAGTAAAAACATACTAATCAGTCAAATAATGAAAACAATTGAAATATCGTTAAAATAATTTATAATTTATTTATTTTGATTTTCCAGCGAGTGGTCTATCACAAATTAGACCATTAGTAGAGTAGCCAATCACAGCGCAGTATGAGTGATAGACCATTAGTAGAGTAGCCAATCACAGCGCAGTATGAGTGATAGACCATTAGTATGTTTATACTAAAAGCGCTTATACCTTGGTTTGAATGGTGCTAATGCTAAACTTGATGCATTGTTGTTTTTCAGACATGGAGAGGCTGTGGACAGGTCACTATTGAAAAGTCTTCTAAGAATGTTGGCTGATATACAGGTTAGCATCAAACTGATCATCATCAAATGAGTATTACATGTAGGAGATGTGTGTAGCATGGTGATGTTGTTACTCAGATGATATAATGACATTTACTACTATGGCTTTCTAAAACGTTGGGAGAATATTCAAGGATTTTATAAGAAGACAGCAAACAGCAAAATCCAGCATCTATATTGACCTTTTGGCTGGCTTATTTTTCTTTTTTGTGCTTRTCTTCCCTTACGATTAACATATGGCTACTTTTTTTAGAACACCCACCTACTTCCAAATTTAATAAAAGCCCTCAATATTTGATACATAGTCACTGAGGCACGTAGGATCTATGGGTATATTGCAGGCAACAGAAGGCACAGAAAATAATAATATTTATATTTAATCGTGTATAAGAACAGTGATACTCAATGAGTTGTATGCCCTTGTTATTCATGTGCCAACAAGAAGACGATTGGCTGTTTGAACAAAGCAACCAAGCCATTCTGGTCATAGTCTCCTCTTGCAGCTGTTACAAGGTTTGTTCCCAGGTCTCAGGGGAGAGTGATCTGGGAACGAGCCTCGTAATGGCTGCAAGAGGCGACTACTCTGGTCATGGTTGGCACGTTAACATAAGAATGAGTTTGTTGATAAACATTGAGTATCGCTATGCAATAGGCTATTCTTGATAGAACAGTTGTAATAATGSAGTTTATTTCCTGTAACCAAATGGATTATGATGTGGTTCTCAATAATAATAATAACAATAATGGCCAAGGCCAATAATTTCTTGCATGAGGTTCAGTTGCTTTCATATCAAAGTTTCTAGTTGTTTTCCATTCTTTTTTTGGTATAATCATTGAGCTATAATGCTGATTCCCAGGTGACATCAATATTTATGTAAACATAATTATCTTAAACTAAGACACTGTAATCTTTTTAATAAAGAAATAGTAACTAGATGGTTAGGGAAGGACTTTCAAATTCTCACAGTTTATGCTTCATTGATGTCTTGATTGTTATTTGAAGCTCATACTCTTTCCAAGCCACATGTGCATTACCCAATAGTTTAATAGTTAGAGTTATTATCACCTATTTTTTGGTTAATTCTTCTAATTCATGTGCTGTTGTTTCTAGATGTACACAGATGCATTTGAATGCAGATTTTTAAAGGAAACAGATATACTTTATGCTGAGGAAGGCAAAAGATTAATGCAAGAAACAGATGTAAGTTGTGGGTAAAAGGGTCAAATATTCAATGAGCTCCGTCAGAGTTTAAACGACATAATGGATGGGATGGTTGCAACTTCAATTCACAGAGAACACTCCACATTACTAAGCCACATTAATAAGCTCACCTTATTTAGTTACCACTTGCCCTGGATSCCTTAGATGTGGCTGTGTAGGTTTTGTTTATCAGAGATAAACATCTTATACTGGAAGTACCACACAATCATTCACCAAATATATGCAGTGGGGTYCAACTTAATTGAGCATTGAAAAAAGTTCAGGAACTGTTATGATCTTCCTGAAAAATCARAACTGGGACTTATAGTTCTTTAAAAGATCTGAACACTTAAAATGTGTCTGGAACGTTAGAAGTGTTTTTGTGACTCCAATTTGTTGTGAAAATACAAAAATGCAATTAGAACTAGAGGGCACTTTGATGGAAGACTGATAGGCTAATGGTTTCAGGTTTTTATACAACTTTCATGTGAAAGTTCATATCACTATAAACATTCCATACATATTTCAGGTACTCATGGTCATTTCAAACAAATACTATAATCTCAATCTCATGAATTTCAAAGTCTAGGCCATTGAAGAACTTGAGTGGATGACAGCCATTGCTAATCAAAGCATCCTTTTATTGTGTCCATAGGTTCCAAAATATCTTGCTCATGTTGATAAAAGACTGCAGGAAGAAATGGACAGACTGATACATTACTTGGATCACTCCACAAGGTAAMAAATAAAGCAACTTTTGTACCAAAGACAAAAGAGATCATTTAAATTCATRAATAAAGTTTGAACTAATTGGAACTTCTTTGATTTCATTTAGAAAACCTTTAATACCTTGTGTTGAGAAGCAACTTATAGGTGAACATTTGGGGAGTATACTACAGAAAGGTTAGGATTGCTGCCAATTGYACACAACAAACTTTGTTTGTTATAAATGTATACTTGCAAGAAAGCACCATTTTCTCTGTTAATTTTTGTGCATCATTATAGTATATTATATATAGTACTAATTAGCCATCCTTAAAATCTCTGAAATGTTGTTCATGAAAAGATTTAATATTTCTCTAGGTTTTGACACTTTGATGATGAGTGATCGTAGGTCTGACTTGGCTCTCATGTATCAGCTCTTTTCAAGAGTAAGGACTGGCACAGAAGAGTTGTGTAAAGCCTTCAGTTTGTTTGTCAAGGTGAGTTATGCTATCCTAGTTGTGAAAACCATACAAWTGTACTTTTACAATGAATGGCTGGTGAAGTATATATCGGTACCTGTGGCTTACACTCTTGACAAGGACTGCAGTATTGTAAATGTTCAAATAGTCATGTGATTCAGCCAATTYCAAATCACAGTCAGGCAGTATGTATTGTAGTAATTATTGTAGTACACCTTTTGCTGTTCATTAACCGCGAAGATTCATTAACGTTTTCAAACCTTCATTAGCCCATTATGTGCTTTCAATAAACTACAACAAACATACAATACCAAAATACAAGCAAAAGGTGTACTTATATCACTGTTTATCTAGAAACAAGGACTCAGTATTGTGCTGAATCCAGAAAAAGATAAAACCATGGTACAAGAACTTCTTGACTTTAAGGACCAACTTGATGGGATCATTGAGCAATCTTTTTTAAAAAGTGACAAGTTTGTTGTTGCTATGAAGGTAATAATTACTTTATTTTTATATTGTGAATAGTTTTGGAGAGATTTAATTTTTTTCAATTTAACATCGTGTCAMYCAAAAGTGTCACAATAAGTAAGCACATCTTTGGGGAGAATGGACAAATTCTTTGAGCCAAGTGTTGCTAAGCTCAAAAGTGCAAAAACATGATATCTGCATTTTCTAATGCACAGGAGTCATTTGAAGCTTTCATAAATAAAAGACCCAACAAACCAGCAGAACTTATAGGTAGGGTCATTATATTTATACACAAGGTAAAGAATGACTTTGCACAGCATGATATAACATTATAATTATTTTCACAGCTAAATTTGTGGATTCCAAACTCAGAGCAGGGAACAAGGTTTGAACTTCATTGTTTTAATATTAGATTTGACATTCAAATAATTTGATATGTCTGTTGTTATTCAATAATAATTTTCCCATCATTTGTGCCATGTGTATAGAAGGTATAGATAAGATATTTAATACATGTGGACAGAAAAACTAGATAGAATGTTTTTATTATTAAATATGAAAGTTGACAGCACTTAATAATWGTTTAGTCAACAACAAGACAAGTTGCACTTTCATGTTTAAGAAAAGTAATGGATAACCAATTCAACCTAATTAAGTAATGCAGAAAAATATACAAAATGAAAAGTTATGATACTATATTTTGTTTGTATAGGAAGCTACAGATGAGGAGCTTGAGAAAATATTAGACAGAATTATGGTGCTGTTTCGTTTTATCCACGGTATGTATGTACCTTTTTCAAAAAACATTGGCAGAAAGAATGGGGATTGGTCATTGTTGGTAGGAGATTGAGTGACTAAATAGGATTATGGTTCCACTTTTGACACACAAATTGTTATCTGTAGGCAAAGATGTCTTTGAAGCATTCTACAAAAAGGATTTAGCAAAAAGATTATTAGTTGGTAAAAGTGCATCTGTGGATGCTGAGAAGTCCATGTTATCCAAGTTAAAACAGGAATGTGGAGGGGCATTCACAAGCAAACTGGAGGGCATGTTTAAAGACATGGAACTTTCTAAAGATATTATGCTGCAGTTTAAACAAGTAGGGACTATTATATTATATTGATAGATATGTTTTTACAAGTATGTTGATAGATTTGTTTTTACAAGCATGATCTAATTAGAACTAAAACATCCAGCTCTGGACTTCTTCTAACAAGGGAATATATATATCATCCTATTTAGGATGATTTATTACCCAAATGATGCCAGAAGTGATGCTAGGATTACACTTACAAACATATTTCATTTTGTTGTTTTGGAAATTTTGTTGTAGAGGGCAATCAAAAGCAAATTTATCGGACCCATGAAGTATCCATGAATGAACCACTATTTTTTTGGCTGCTCTGTTGACAAAGTTTCCCAAAAGAGTGTATTAAACAAGGCTTTTAATATATTTCTAGCATATTCAACACCATGATTTACCCAGTAATATTGACATGGTTGTAAGCATACTGACAATGGGCTACTGGCCTACTTATCTACCTAKGGATGTCCACCTACCAGCTGAAGTAAGAGAATACATGTTTACATAATGAATACAAAAATAAAAGGAAAAATTTATAGAGAGTGAATTCATTTATTTCCTAAAAAAATGTTAGATCACAAAAACTTTTAATAAATGACAGCTGAAGGGCGCTGCTGCAATTCATACATTAACAGCATCTAACACACTAATGTGCAACAAGTGGTAATTTATTGTTTGTATAGATGGTTCAGTACCAGGAGACATTCAAACGTTTTTACCTAAGTAAACACAGTGGTCGCAAACTTCAGTGGCAAAACACACTGGGACATTGTGTGGTTAAGGCAGATTTTAGCGAGGTTTGTTTAATTTATATATATTTTTCTATAAACTTGATAAAATTTACAATTCTTATTTTAGCGAAAAATGAAGTGCAACTTTCTTCACACTATACGAGATCTGTCATTTYGCAATTTTTGTTTATAGAATGTGTTTTCATATAATATAAAAAGTATGGAAATCTATAGACTGATTCCATAAATTGATCCCAGTTCGCTCTCTGTCAGAGTTTTTGTCGCTCACGGGTCCGTCGCTAGTTTCGCGACAAACCGAAAACCCTGAAAACTACGACTTATGGAATCAGTCTAGGAGATCTAGATTTACAGACTTTGTTAATAGGTACAGAGTTTGTAAATCCTGATTTACAGTATTTTCACAAGGATGGAAATCCATATTTCACATATCAAAGCTTTTCCTTTTGTAGAGGATGTAGTATAAAAATCTTTGACAAGAATAACGACGATTTTGTTTCTCTATTTGTAAGGGTTCTGTCGGCTGCCCTCAAGAGAAAAAAGAACTTCAAGTGTCTCTCTTTCAAACTCTGGTTCTTTTATTGTTCAATGAGGGAAATGACTATACATTTCATGAAATAAAGCAAGCTACGGGGATAGGTATGACTTTGTTTTTTACATCTTGATAACCCAGCTACTTCACAGAAATACATAGAACCTTAACCCACCTGGGGGTACTCCCCTATTTTCGTTATATACTTTTTTCAGCGATTTTACTCTGGAACAGGTTATCGTTTCTCGGCGATTCTACTCTGGAACAGCTGTTATTGTTTCTYAGCGATTTTACTCTTGAACAGGGTCTGGGTTTTGAAGTCCCAGCGGCACACCCCCACCCAAGTAGGGGTGGTAGTACCACCACCCGGGGTTTACCGCCATGTTCAACATTATTCCTTGCAAWGTGGCTGCTGATGTGTACTTATTTATGCATGTTGCTGATTGGGTGAGCTGATTAAAATTATTTACCATTGCAGAGGACTGCGAGCTTAGAAGAACGCTTCAATCTTTGGCTTGTGGACGGGCCAGAGTTATGAAGAAGAAGCCTCCGGTACAAGTTGTTTGCAATTSATGACATTATATTTTGTTTCTGAATTTCTTACATTTCGAACGTGATTTTTCAGGGCAAAGATATCGATGATGCTGACATATTTAGCTTTAATAAAGACTTCAAACATAAGTTAATTCGTATCAAGATAAATCAAGTACAAATGAAAGAAACGGTAAGTATACACCCTTTTAATAAGTCCCGAGGTATTGTGTTTTCCGCACTTGACGTCAAATTTATTCTTTTGAAATTTTTACAATACAAAAGGAATTCAAAAGAATAAATTTGACGTCAAGTGCGGAGAACAGAATACCTTAAGACTTATTAAAAGGGTGTATATTACAAGTATTTCATACATGTACAGTGTTACCTGTATTCAGGAATCTCTCTTGGAAAGTTTGTTGCCGCTTAATGTGTGATTGCCGGCTGAACAGAGGTTGAAATTATGCTCTCTCGGTCTTTATAACTAACGTTTTCTTTGTGTTGTATTAGCCTGAAGAGAATGTCAACACAACAGAACGTGTGTTCCAGGATCGACAGTATCAAGTAAGTCTTATAAAGCTAATTTAGGCAGTTTATTGATCACGTGCAGCCTCACAAGAATCCACCATAATCCATTTTACTTTCACCGAAAGGTAAAGCCCCTTCTCACATATTGAMCCTTTTGATATTGGATTCTATGAAGTAGGGCTAACTCTTTTGTTAAGCTAGGTAGGGCTACCTTTTTTGTTCTGTTACGAGGAAAACTGAAAGAGCTATAATCGGCTTATATATAAAGGGGAACTCTACCTCACGTAAATACTTGTACACCTAAATCAACCTAATAAACTCTTGATGAAACTCAGGCTAAAGTTGAAAAAAGAACCTTGTCGGGTTTCAAAAAGGTTACGTCAGCCAAACCAAGTGTGAAAGGGGGCTTACCACCATTATAACAGTGTTTAAGTGGCACAAAGACTGCTTGCACTAGAATACAAGTAATAGAATGCGAGTAGTGTAAAAAATGGAACATTTTTGGGCAAATATATCATTTGTAGCGTTACCCTGTGTACCGTCCCTGGGATCCCTGTGGCTACTTTGGTATTAGCTTCATTGATCCCAACAGAGATTTTTCGGTTAGGTGTATACATAAACAGGATATACGCAAAATGCATGCATCGTCAAAAGCAATGAACAAAGACGATTGTATAATTTCTYCATAGATTGATGCAGCTATTGTAAGGGTTATGAAGACACGAAAAACTCTCAACCACACCCTACTGGTGTCAGAATTGTACAATCAACTAAAATTTCCTGTCAAGGTTTGTATTTCTGTTAGGTTATTGTTAAGGCTGATTTACACGGTACGATTTTGTACGATTTTAATAAGCAGTGATTGTTGTAGACAAGTCGTAAAGGCATTTACACTGCGCGATTCAAGTTGTATACTACAAATCGCACGAGACAATCGTGCCGTGTAAGTCAGCCTTTACGAGTGAAGTAAAAAAACCCGTGAAACAGATATTACTTTAATACACCAATACGCTCTAATTGCATTGTTTTCCTTTGTGTCTATTTGACTATCACACTTTTAAAAATAGTCAAATTTGTTTCATGGGTTTAATGGCTTCACTATATCAGAGAAAATATGCGTAAAAATTAGAGTAATTAGTGACGTTTGCAAGCTGCTCTCACAGTCTTTGAATTCAATTAAGCTGCGATCTTTTCTTGAATTTCCCGTGCCTTCAAAGACCTTTATGTGAGGATTGACAAGAGTTGTTTTGCAGAGGTGGATGTCAAATTGTTAAATACCTGGAAACGGTTTCAGGTTTATAAAGRCATCTTGTCATACTGGTATCATTCAATTAATCGTTTCTTCATTTTTTGACAGCCAACAGATTTAAAGAAACGTATTGAAAGTTTAATCGAGCGTGACTACATGGAGCGTGACAAAGAATCGCCCAACCAGTATCATTATGTAGCATAATTTCCCCACGAGTTTTTTATAGAAATAGTTCTTTGCGTTCGATAGTCGGGCCTCCATCTTGAGTGCAAAAAAATATCCTTGAATCACTCATAATTAGAGAATTGTGAAATAGTGCTAGTTGCAGTGCAAGATACTATCACTGACGCTTCACGGATATATTGTTTGCACTCGATCTAACCGCTGTTGTTATTGATAGTGTAACTAAAGTATTACTATTAATAAGTACTTGGAATACGAAGCTAGACTACTAAGTTATTTACACCTACTTGCAAAAAGGTTGCCAAAGAGTGCATTCGAAACATTTTGTAAAAAATTACACGATTTTGTAATGATTTGCACAATTTTGTTTCTCGAACTATTTCTCGGATGTAGTAAATCTTTTTAGTGTAATGGGAAAGGAAATCAAGACAAAATCAGATTACTCAATTCGCTCTTTTGTTTCAGTAATTTCTCTGAAGTTTTTTCCTGCATATGACAACCCTCTTACAATTAGGGGTATTATTATATGGTTTTGGCTATTGAATGAGGACAGAGATTGCAACGTAAGAATTGCTAACATATTTTGTAATGTAGTAATGAACAATGAATAATTTATCAAATGTACTTGAGCAGTAGTATCCAGTATGCATAAGATAACATGGCTAAATAAGCCGTGTAAAGTTGGAATCATGTAATAAAGTAGTAATGTTTTCATCAATTTTTCACTTATATTTTTTGTGGGAATGCATTAACTTTCTGCTCATACTTCATACTGATTCCATGAGTCGCAGTTAGTCTACGAGATAGTGTAGAGATGATTTTGGATGGAATTTAAAAAATGAAAAAGTATATTTTCACCACTAGTTCTTTTCCTTCTTTCCCATGTTTGATATGMGATGTTTGAATCCATCTAGAATTTGTTTAATGATCCAACAAGTTGGAAGGTGTTTGGTTTCTCGTGGGCTTGTGAGGCACTGCAACYRGGAGGKAGACAGTTCACGCGTACTTACACAACATACGTAGAGGCATAAGAACATGCAAATGTCGTCATCGTTTCTACGTCTTTTCCCCAATTCACACGCTTCACGCACCTTTCTAATAACCAAGAAACCTAAGGTGACAAAACCTGAAAAGGGCGTTGCACGCAATATGATTTTTCATTGAAATATCGCTAGTTTTAAGTTGTACATATGGACAAAGGCCTTACCACTACCAGATCCTTGTTTTTAGTGATATTTCAGCCATCTTTTGGTTACAGCTGCAGCTTTTTGATCTATGAATGAAATGCTTCACCTTTAGGGCAAAAAAAGAGAAAATTAAAAGCGAAAAAGTCCATGAGTTTTTTTGACCTTATAATGATCAAGGACCCATTTACGTCATCATTGTGCCTCTTATATTGGGTTCTGTACCCCTAGCAATCAATCAGAACAGTAAGATGGTCCGCGAACATGGACGTCCACTCAGGACTATTTTCCTTTTCTACGSTTTTCCTGGAAGATCGCGATATTTGTAGCCGGGGATTTCGTTGACTTTGCAAGTTTCCATCGGTTAGGGTTGTACGTTTCTCGAGTGACTGTCAGCCTTCTCAYAAAAATCACCGTAATGTTTGGTCTTATGAATCGTGCAACTGACAAGGTACCCTGGGAACCAGAGGCTGGATATACTCGTTGTTTTTACGTCCTTGAGGCCGAAGGCCGAAACCGTAAACCAGTTTACCAGGCGCGGATCCAGGGGAGGTGAAAAGGGTGAATTTTCACCCCCCCCCATTTTTCTAACCCCTTCTTTCTTTCTTTGCACGGAGTATGGATTTCATGTGGTCTTTCCTGTGCTGGTACACGGACGGAAAGAAGGAATTCGGAAGGAAACGAGCGTACGCGCGGGAACCCTGTGTCGGTCCATGAAAAATGGACTCTTTTTTCTTAACTATGGGAGCTCCGCGATAAGAACGAGTTAATCCAGCCTCTGGCTCCCAGGCTACTGACAAGGTGATATTGATGATTTTTCCGGTTTGTATATCCCTACAATCAACCAACAGAACCTTCTTTCAGATTACATTCATTTATTCTAAGGTTCCTAGAACTTCCTTGTACGTTTTTTTAAAGGCTTAGTGTCGATAGGATAAATCACCCCAAAACATGCTATTGCATTCAACTTTGCAATGCAACATCAAATTGCAATGCAACATCAATGCAAAAATCTGTATTTTGGAGAGATTGTGAGGATTATATAGTAGATACTAGACATCACTGAGAACTGCCTATATAAGGCCTGATGTCCATATACTCGTTCCAAGCGCGGTTTGCATCTGTTCTAGTTTCCTCAAAGGATTTTACAAAACTGAATGGAAATAAATCTGCCATTGAGGTCGCACACGCGAATCGTCTCACATTGTCCCGACCCTACAAAATTTGTTTTTGCGTATTTTAAAATATAGAAACTAACAGTAAACTAGTGTGAGCTGCGTCGGTGTTCAAACAGTTGGGTAAAAAGATTAATTTTAACACCGTAAAAAAGTAGGTGAAACAACTKTACTGACGTTTCGTACGTTAATCTTCGTCGAAGTAAGGACTAAAACTTTTAAATACTTTTAAATGTTTGTTARAATTCTTTTTACACAACTGTTTGCCGAWTTTAGTGTAGTCGAGGAAACTAGAATGCAAAATCCCGTTTTTATGCATGAATATATGCACAGTCCTCGTCTATTTGATGCGATACATATCTACATTATATCCGTGAAGTACTTAGTAGACTATTAGATAACAGACCTTAGAGTCGTTCACATATACGATTAATAGTAAAAATCGATATTCAATAATTGATTGCTTAAATAGATGAATACAAATAAAAGTTGGAATTATATTTCCACAATGCTGTCATTCAACCAGTTGAACACAATTGGTTTATATCAAGTTGCCATTCAGGTTATGCAGCTATCGCATTGTAACCAGCTCCTCTGAGCCAGTTGGGTGGATTGCTACTGTGTTGTCAAAATCTGCCTTGGTYGCTCCCATTTTCACGGCAACAGAAAATCCTTGCAACATTTCATCCACACCCATCCCTAACATGTGCAGACCAATAACCTATAATCAAATAAAAACATTAAATTTTCAAGCAGAGATAATTTCTTTTTTGACCTTGTTTGTAAAACTTATTTTTATCAAAGATGAAGGTCTCCCTCTCCTCGCAAATTAAAAAATTTGAAAGGCCGTTGCAAAATTACAAAATGTTACAAATGCAAATAATCTCACTATGGGGTCACATACTACCAGATTGCTTTGGCCATTTTTGTAATGTAATTAGTGCCAATTGTTTTACTTCCAATGCATATAAATAAAAGTAGAATAAGAATGAGAATATGTTAGATAAGGCTGTTCAAGAACGGGGCCGCATTGTTGTTTCTTGCACAGCTAATTCACATATGACACGAGTTCGTGAGCGAGYGGGAAAACCGCCCAAAAACCTGAACAGTAGCAATTTTGTGTAAGAGCACAAAAACAACGATCGCACCTTTTCCTCTGGGAGAAGACAAACAAGTTYCATGTAAGTCTTGTGTTTGTTTTCACATATGGAATAATACAAATTAACGAAGTCAGAAGTGTAAATCTTCAATTTATCTCTTCCATATTTTTCAGCAGCTTGCTCTGTGAAGAAAAAGGAAGATACTTAACGTTTTGGCGCTAAGGACTYATACATGGGCGTGAAGTGTGGGCAAGCTCAGACGGTTCATAAGGCTATAACATTCTTTCGGAGCCGTCTTATCAAACCCCCGCCCCTCGACCCCCGGGAAATACAAGACATTTCCCTCGGTAGTCTAAGGCACATTCACTGTTAAAATCCCGGCTATCGTGGCCCCGCTATTTTGGTCTAGTATTTAATAACAAAACAAACACCTTTCAATCCAACTCAAATTTTTCTGTGATACACGGGGTTAATTTTTGTATAATCCTCGGTCGGAGGTGGTCGGTGGTCGGTGGTCGGAGTTAAACATGTGTAATAAGTTTCTTAATCTTTTCATGCAAGGAAAAATAAACAAATACAAAAACAGGGTTGAATACCAATGCTTTCAGGGTATTTTTCAAGATGGAGGACCTCTAGTATCCAGAGTCATACATGTTCAAACGAGTGTTAAAATCCCCGCTACTTGACCCCCTTTCAAACAATTCATCAAAATCCCGACTTCCCGGGACAATCTTGCTGTTAAAAGCACGTTCAAAACGCCCCATTCAGTGCCCCGCTAGCCCCCTAGTTTCAATTGACAAGTGCATTATAGTCGATATTTTAGTTAAGATGAAAACCTTTTTCAAAAGATGAACTAAACTACTSACAATTTTCATTTTCATATATACTTGGTCTTACTCAAAATTGGATGAAATCAAACGTTATATGTAATATGTCATATGAACTTGAAATGACTAGTTGAAAGATAGGTGGCAATACCTTCTGTCAAGCCTATAGTTCCAATGGGAGGATGACTAAACACTACTGTTGGAATATTGTCGTAATCCAGCTTCAAATTCGATTTTCCTTCAAAGAGTCTATGGGCAAGTCTGCGCCCTGCTGCAATGGCAACTTCAAAAAACAAAAACATTCAATTGAAAGAAAGATAGCAACAGTAAAATGATACTAGAAGTACAGAGATGAAATCTGAATTTAGGTTACACAAACTTTATAACTGATTGTGGATTAAAAAAAGACTTGTTAGGTTTAAAACTGACTTCGTGTATATGTAGATGCTTGATACTTCAATATTTTAATTGATTATACCTGGAGTCAGAAGTGCTTTGCCGCACACATCCCCTAGAGCATAAAATGATTCCCTTGAAGTATTTTGGAACTGAAACAAGACAGAATCTTAGTAGGGGCRTATCSCGGATCATTGTGGGGGTCCTTACATATATCAATAGGACCTCATAGAAAGCAATTGATGTCCCTATAAATGGGTCTCACATTGCATCAATAGTCAGATTTCTATTTTTTCGTTTTAAAATCAAATTGCATGGGGAGTTCAAATTGAATGGCGAATCGCATGAACCCTAGCATTGACCCCAAACACGCCTTGCTTAAGAACACAGTGATACTCAGTGTATCTAACTAGGTGCTCATTGGGGCATAATTCCCTCACCCCTTCAAATAATATGTCAATTAAGTTACCTCATCAACAACAATATGACCACGACTGTCCATTTTCACACCCTAGAGTTTCAAGATTAAAGCAAATTTCAGTTAAGAAATGAGAATTCTCTTGAAGCACACAATATTCATCTTACAATGTTCTCCAAACCCAGATCTTTAGTGTTTGGACTGCGTCCAACAGCCCATAATAAGCAATCATATCCTGATAGGGCCAATTTCTCTGTCTTGTTCTTTGTACAATGAATTGTTAACAAGCCATCATCCTTTGTTATTTCCTCAATCTATAGACACAGCATAATATAGATATCAAAATATACACAAATGTTACATTCAATACAATCAACTGGTCATAATTTCTAAATTAAAGACATTGCTGAAAATATAAAAGTAATAATTTTCAAAAACTCCTGCTTGTCTACATAMTCTATTCTTGGATATGTTCACTTCAAAATGGTGGTAGTCAAAATTCAAATTTCATTGATTGTTGCTTGTTGTTKTTTTTTWAWT